TTCTAAGCGTAGTCCGAGTCTTTTAAAAGTACATGGTGACCATGTTGAATTTACCAAATCATGGGCAAAGTCTCTACTAAAGCGTATGGGATACGTTAAAAGAAAAGGCTCTAATGCTGGAAAAGTAGCTGTTCATCGTTTTGAAGAGTTAAAAGAAGAGTACCTAGCTGATATAAAAGCTGAAGTTGTAATGAATGGTATTAATAAGGAATTAGTTTTTAACTGGGACCAAACTGCTCTACAACTGGTTCCAACTGGTGATTGGACCATGCATGAAGCAAGAGCAAAAGTGGTTCCTATCACAAATTCTGATGACAAACACCAGATCACATCTGTGCTTGCTACAACAATGACAGGGGAGTATCTTCCTGCTCAGTTAATTTTTAAGGGCAAAAGACTTCGTTGTCATCCATCCATCATAGCTCCTCCAGAGTGGGACTTTTGGCACAGTGAATCTCATTGGTCTACTGAAGAAACTATGATAAGGTATCTGCAGAAAATTGTATTCCCCTTTGTTGAAAAAAAAGGAGAGAACTTAAGCTTGATGAGCATTCCCCAGCACTCGCTATTTTTGACTGTTTTAAAGGTCAAACAACAAAAGCAATTTATGATCTACTAGAGTCTAACAGCATCAGGGTGGTGAAAGTGCCAGCTAACTGCACTGATAAGCTGCAGCCAATGGACATTTCGATAAATAAACCAATGAAAGAAGAAATGAGAAAGTGATTTCAAGCGTGGTATGCTGAGAGTGTTCATAAACAATTGGAAGAAGGAACTGTATTAGAAGAAGTGAAAGTAGATACTGCTCTTTCTGTTATCAAGAATCAAAGCACAAAATGGATGATTGAATCATGGGAGACCCTCAAGCAAAGGCCAGATATTGCAGTGCATGGATTTGAAAAGGCATGTATTTCACAAGCTATTGGCTCTGTAATGTGAAACACTTTATGTATAATGTGTAACAAAACTTCTATTGTAATTTATTTTCACAATTGATTACAATAATGTTTTAATTGATATTGATTAATAACATAATTAATAATGTAACTCAAAATAACAATCATAATAACAGTTATACAATTAGATCTATGGAAAAGGAGTTAACTGGAGATCTTCAAAGCACTTCAGTAGATGAGCCCTCTTGCTATCCTGCTTAAAAGATAATGGTAATGGTTGTCTGTGAGCTAGGGAAGTACACACAGCTATAGCGAAAACACCACAATCCATTCCACCTTTCTGTTGTGGACAAACCATTAACTTCAGCCTTGCTTCTTGTCCAAATAACTGCAAAAGAAGGTGTCTTGTAGTAATGTTAATATCATTAAAATTGAATCATAAATGAAAACTTCTCTTGTTTCTTGGCAATTCATTGAGGTTGACACGACAATCCAGTGATTTCCTCGGTCATGGACAATTTGTAGGGCATTGTGAAATGGTAACATTGTATCTGGCTTAGAAAGAACTAATGGTGACACAAGGCCTTGAAGATGTTGGAATTGTCGTTTAAGAAGTACTTGAGCAAAGACAATAACTTTATTAGGTATCCAATCTCCTGATTCAATATAGTCTTTGTCACTCAACGATAGTTGGTGCCTCTTGTCAAGAGCTATCCAAATTTCTCTGGTGTTACTATCATCATCGCCATCTGGTATTACTATTCTATTATCATCACTAAAATCATCTTTTTTCATTCTTTTAGGTGAAGGCTCAAATAAGTCTGAAGTGGGAGCTGATGCTATACCAAACAACTTCTTGATCTTCGTCACGTGTTTCTCTCCTCCTTTAAAAGTCAGTTTACATGGGACTTCTAATCCTCCTTGTGGCAAATCAGAAGAATGCCTTCTATTATCACTCACTATGCAGCTGATACTGCTCCCTTCTCAGCAAAGAAACAAAGAACATGCTGCTGATATCTTACGAGAGACATGACCAACCACTAAGCGAGTATTTACAGTCTTCAGCATGGCTACAGCGTAGGGATCAAAAACATTGTCTTCCTCTCTTTCACAAGACAAAACTTCGCCTATTGTTGGGGTCCAAAAGGGTTCAGAAACATGATGCCCTCGAATACAACTCTCAATCGTTATTTCGTCATCCTCGAGCTCTTGGAATTGGTCGGCCATGTTTAGCTCACTTTTAATTAATTTAAAGGCGTGGCGTAACAATAATTCTACCATGCCTACTTGCAATTGACCAATCAGATTGCGTTATACGAGGTAAATATAATCGCTTATTTACCTCGCCGAGGTAAATATAGCCAACTTATTAAAGTTGCCAAACAGGTTTTCTTAGTTATTTACCTCACGGACAGCCCGGGAGCAAACAGGTTTCTAATTATTTACCTCGAAGCATAGCTATGGCGTCTGGAGTAATCATTTTTAGCAGAGAAAGCAGCAAAGAACATCGAAAAGAAAGAAATAGAGCATCAAAACATAGATACTATGGTCAAAGGCATTGAGCCATGTGATAAACTTCTTAATGGGTGGAGTGGAATTGGAAAGGCATGTTCTGGGTGTGTTTTACTGTACACACATGGCGCGAGTGAAGAAGAGATTTTCCAGTTTCTTTTAAGAAGATACAAAGAAGGAAAGAGGCCTTGTGCTTTTATAAAGCCTTGCTAATCATGGGCAGTTTCTTAGCTACAGATTTGGCATGGTAGAAGTCTGTTATACACCTCGGTCTCGGTTGCTATTGGTTTATTTACCTCGGGACTGCGTCCCTCGGTAAATAAATCCCATAGAAACCTCGACCTCGGTGTATAACTTATACTAATATTTTCCAATTTTTATAAAAAATAAATTTCAAGTCTTAATTGCCAAATTAAAATACCGCCAATCACATTTTTTTGACAAATTGCCAAATAAAACTCTAGCCAATATTTCCCGCTGTACGGTACACTGACGATCACATTACTGCCTGTATGGAGAAAGTGTGTCTCTCTTTGGGCTACTCTGAGCTCAGGAGTCTACAGAAAGATGCCATGAAGTCTTTTGTTGCAGCGCGTGATGTATTCGTATCCTTGCCTACTAGGTTTGGTAAGAGTCTCATCTATGGGTGCCTGCCATTACTTTTTGACAAGCTGAGATGCAAACTGATACCATCATCAATTGTTATTGTAATTTGTCCTCTCGTTGCTCTGATGAAGGATCAAGTGGAAAAGTTTCAATCCCTTGGCATGAGATCTGCATATGTTGGAGATCAGTCTCTTGACTCAGCTGCTTTTTTAACTGGTGACATAAAGTTAATTTTTATTAGTCAAGAGTCTTTAAATAGAGGCTCATTATGGAGAGATGTAGTTTGTAGTGATGTTTACCAGCAGAATGTAGTTGCTTTTGTCATTGATGAGGCACATTTGGTGAAGAATTGGTCAGTATTTTAAAACTGAATATCATGTGTTTATTGTAATTTTAATGATTATAGGGGCATTAATTTTTCTCCAGATTTTAGTTGTTTAAGTGAGATATGAAGCCTTCTTCCTCAAAAAATCAATGTCCTAGCTCTCACTGCCGCTGCAACGTTTACTTTACAAAAAGAAGTAATGTCATTTCTTGGGATGGTTGACCCAGTTGTAATAGAAGTCTCACCAGAGAAACCGAATTTGCACTGCAGCGTTAAAGAGAATACTACCGATACTATTATGGCTGTAATATTAGAGCTAAAGCACAAGAGAGTTGAAATGGTAAGAATGATAATATTTTGCTGAAGACCGTTGGATTGTGCTAATCTTTGGATGCAGTTTCAAGCATCATTAGGTGGAGATATGACTGAACCCCCTGGCAGCTCAATGAGGAATCCAGAATTAAGATTAGTTGATTATTTTACTGGATGTACAGAGGAAGCTATTTGCGATACCATTCTGAATCAGTTTTTGTGAGAATTTTGCTTAAGGGTTGTCATTGCTACAGTAGCATTTGGGTTGGGCATTGATTGCCCTGGTATGAGAAGAGTTCTTCATTTTGGAGTCCCTGAAGATGTCGAGACCTATGTACAGCAAGTTGGGAGGGCAGGAAGAGATGGAAGAATGTCATATTGCACTTTGCTATTTGGTAAAGGTGTTTACAGGCGGCCCAGCGACAAAAAGATTCTTGACTATTGCAGCAATAAAGAAATATGCCGCAGTAATTATCTATATGGCATGTTTAGCAGTTATTTATCAAGTAACAATATTAATTATAATACATTTATGTGTTGTGATGTATGTAGTCTTAAATGTAAATCATTAAGTGTACTACTTAGATATACAATTTTAAATTAAGGTAATGATTCAACAATTACTTAGTATAGTATTCTTTTGTAGTTTTCAATCATCCATTTCATCAGCTTTTCCTTGTCAACACTGTTCATAACATTACTCTGAAATTTCTTAAAACACCGAAATTCACGACCTTGCACGACAGAAACTACCTCATATTGTAGTAATTCCTTTACTATTTTATCTCTGTCAGCATTTGATGATGAAACTGAGTGATGGATTGACTCCTTAACTTGGTGTGAATCAAAGCTTTTGATGATTTTATTGATTGGACCAATGCATTTTCCCACTTTTTTTATGCTTGTAGGAGTTTTGTTTGCCCCCAGATTTGCCACACATGCCTTAACCATTCTATTAAGATGCTCTATATACAAATCACATGGAATGTTGCATCCTATGCGCCCTTGAGTATTAATATACCTCGAATACTTAAGTTGCATGGCTTGCCTTTCTGGTAGTATCCCCATATAGGAATTCCAAGGTTGTTACAACTGGGTCACAACCTTGCAAAGTTGTAGCCACCTAGTAACAACCTTGTATAAAAGTGATAAAGTTGTGAGCAACCTAGTGACAACCTTGTAGGAAAGTGATAAAGTTGTGACTAACATGTAAGAAAAATAACAAACTTGTGACAAGGTTGTCTGAAGGTTGACAGGAAACTGGGGTTTCATTAAGTGTGCCCCACGATGATATGAAGCTATTGCTACCATATATAAAGGGACCATTGACCAGCATTTATACAAGTCAATAAAGATAACACTAATACACATCCACATTTTTATACATTAGCTGCATGTATCATAGATACATTACAAGTATCTAGAAATCATTTGAAACTATATGGGATTAAGATTTCAATAATAATAATGTGTTGATAGTCTTTAAGATTATAGTTATTCTATTAAATTCATTGTACATTGTGAGAAGGTTGTGACAAGGTTGTGACAAGCCAAAAAACGTGTCAAATCCAAGGTTTTTACAAGGTTGTGACCGGGTAGTGACAATCTATTGACAACCAACTTGTTACAAGATTGCCACAATCATGCTACAACCTTGGTTTTTCTATATGGGTCCAGTGATACTGAGCTAACAGTGTGAAGGCCTCCAATGCATAGTTCCAATGACTAGTAGCTCT